TGGATGGATGATGGATGGATGATGGATTGATGATGGATAGATGATGGATGATGGATGGGTGGATGAATGGATGGATGGATGATGTATGATGGATGGGTGGATTGATGGGTGGATGGATAGTGGAGGATGGATGGATGGATAGATAGATGATGGATGATGGATGATGGATGGGTGATGGATGATGGATGGGTGGATTGATGGGTGGATGGATGGTGGAGGATGGATGGAAGGATGGAAGGATGGATGGATGATGGATGGATGATGGATAGGTGAATGGATAATGGATGGGTGGATGGATAATGGATGATGGATGGGTGGATTGATGGGTGGATGGATAGTGGAGGATGGATAGATGGATGGATAGATGATGGATGGATGATGGATGGATGGTGGATGGATGGTGGATGATGGATGATGGATGGGTGGATGGATGATGGACAGAGAGATGAATATCTCTCTAGGTGCTGGCTTAGGGCTTGGGGGACCATCCTCTATTGCAAACCTATTCCCCAACATTTCCATCCTGTGAAGAGTCACTGGGCAAACACCGTCAACACCGCCAACTTGCGGTGGCGGGCTGTGCCCCATGTGGAGGGAGAGCCATTTGTCATGGCCGCCTCAGCCTCACTCGCTACAACAATTTAATCAGATGAGGCCTGGGGTGCGTTTCCTGTCTGTGAGCAAGCGTTTCGCTGGGGCGCGGGCTGGACTTGGGGGACAGAGGAAAGCCGGCAGGACCGTGACTGCAGGGGACCCCAACAATCCCAGATCCCCAGGAGGCAGGAGGGGACGCAGGCGTGGCCGTGGAGGGAGGGGACTGGAGTAGGACTGTGACTGGGACATTTTAATTAGCTAACTCCAGTCTGACATCTTCTCCCTCCGCCGGCCCTGCCTCGTCCCCGGGGGCACCCGGCCTGATCTCGTCACCAGGCCGCTCCTTGGCTGTCTGTGGCCAGGAGGCCCCGCTCTCAGGGGGGGACTGAACGCAGCAGCTTCAGCAAAGATCCCTCAGACACTGCAGGTTTTTAAATTAACTGCGCCGCCCGGCCGGCGTGGCTCAGTGGTTGAGCATCGACTAGGAACCAGGAGTGGGGTTCAAGATTCCCGCTCAGGGCACAGGCCCGGGTTGCGGGCTCGATTCCCAGTGGGGGGCCTGCAGGAGGCAGCCGGTCCATGATTCTCTCTCATCATGGATGTGTGTGTGTGTGTGTGTGTCTCTCTCTCTCTCCCTTCCTCTCTGAAATCAATCTATAATAATAAAAGCATCATATGCTAATTAGACTGGATGTCCATCCGGACGACCTTCCAGATGAAGCTGGGGCTGCGAGGGAAGCCCGGGCCCTGAATGCCTGCCGGTGGTCGGAGGGGAGCCCGGGTCCCGGGTGCCGGAGGGAAGCCGATGCCGGCAGCCGGGGGAAGGAAGGCCTACTCTTGCACGAATTTCGTGCACTGGGCCTCTAGGAAAAATATATTTAAAAAATTAAATGAACTGGGCCAAACTCAGGTGGCCCAGGCACAGGACTCACAGGTCAAAAGCCAGGCGCCCGGAGGAGCAGCCTCAGATGCTGGCGCCCAGAGGGAGGCTCCCGCTGAGGCC